AACTATGAAACTGTTAAACTTGAAAATGGTTTCCATGGAGGAAATTGGGTGTGTGCATATTCAAAACAATCCTGTTTTTGGCATTCAAAAATTGTTTACAAAGTTCATTAAAATCCTTTAATACTTTCTGATAACTTTCTTATAAAATTGCTATATAAATCTGTACAAAAAGTCGACGTTTACATTGTCCGCCATTTTGCACACGACGGCCAATCACAGGGCTTACGGCGTTTGTCCAAAACGAGGCCGTAGCAGGGGAGTCCCGCTGGTGTTGCCTGTGTTTGTTCGTTATTATTTCCCGGTCAGCAGGGCTTTTGTGTTTATGGTATCCCGCTTGCATGTCTTGCAGCATATCTTTCCCCAAGTATCTGAAGAGCACCAGTTGAGGCGAATGGCAGCTTTGCAATAGTTTGATCTATCGCCGCTACACTGATTTCGAACTGAGATAAAGAAAAAAATAAAAGACAAAAAAAGTGAAAAAACCTTAAACGTGGCCGTAGTGCACGTTTTCGTAACACTGGTGTCAGTGACTCGTTTCAACCCTTACACTAGCTCTGAAATCGTTCACCCGGGCCTCGAGAGTAGTCAGCAGGCACCTTGCCAGGAGGGTCTAATTAAAACCAGAGATGGACCTCTGGGTTCCCACCCTAGTAATCCCCAATCCTGACACGAGAAAATCCTCCAAGTTTCCTCCCTGGCTCCCAGAAGAACTATTTTTCGTCAAGAGTGNACGTAGCATCAGGAGTCAGCTTTTTGCGCACAGGCAAAAGTCTCGTTACTCTTCTAACCTCGCTCTTAAACATTACAACACAGTAACATTCCTTAGAAGGAAACAAAATCCCCGTTTTTGATTATGTGATGAAGATCATGGGAAGTCATTTCTCTGGCTTGACTCACTGATAGAACTCTCCTGTATCCCTGGTTTCTCTCCGCTATCTATAGTAAGAAGACGTGGCTGCATTCTTTATAAAGAGACAGAAACTTAGGTTTTATTTATAACTATCTTGCCAATTTTGGACAATAATCGTTAAGCACAACTTGATTCCCGCCGCCCCGTCAAACCACTCTGATGAACTTGTTGTTTCATTGAAACTATCTCTCCACCCTACCCATCACCCCCCATCCCCCCACCCCCAAACTAGCTCCACCTCTTGGCACAAGGCCACAGAGCAATAGATTTTACCTGGTACGGCAAATACGAGGAAATAGCAAGCCGTTCGTTATGCCACTCGTTGTTTTGATCTTTTGACCTGTACCATAGCCGCCGTTCTCTTTTAGAGACTGGATTCCGGTAGAAAACACGGAGCCAGCCCATGTTTTGGCCATACATGTGATACCAGAAGTCAAGACAGACTCTATTGGCCCTAACCACTGGACTTATTAATCTTGCTCGGTCATTTCTTTTTCGAGGGTCTGATGCTTCTATGTAGGCATAAACACCTGGGAAGAAAGAATTTACTTTACTAAGGAAAAAAGCAAGCAATTTCAAAAGCCAAAGTGCCAGTCAGAGAAAGAGATCTTTGAACCCTTATTTGGCATGTTGTTAACACGTGAATCACCTTTGGAGGTTCCAAGGGTGTGGTCGTTGGTAGGACCCGTATTCCTGCTTGGTGTACTTCCGTTCCACAGAGTCCAGTCAAACTGGTCTAGCTTAGAGCCTTGCACGTTTTCCCACTCACACAACCCTTCTTCAAAGGAGCAGGACAACTTGGCGAAAACTAACGAAAGAAAACAATAACAAAAATGGGCATTTTGTCAAAATCGCTAACTATCTGATTATGTTGATTATTACTAACTTCATGGAGAACAGTCTGGAAGTGAGTATTGCAACACGAGAAAAGTCTCGGTAAGTGTGAATAACAGAGGTCTTAATATTTTCCCACACAAACAAAACTTACATAAAATTACAAATAGTGCAGTTACGGTGCACCCCACTTGACACCAAATTACAGGGCAAGAGGTGTTAAAACAATTTGTCAAGCAACAGACGTACTCACCACTTCCATCACAAGGCTGTTTCCTACAGATCCTGCGAGTTGGTGCTTTGGTACTACTTGGACAATTTAACGACAAGCTACCAAGTACATCCCGACACTGGACTGAGCGGGACTGCATGCTATTCCCACAAGTATTCGAACACTAAAGAACAAAAATGAAACAAAAATTGCGAGCAATTACACAGTAAAGGACTATCTTACAAAACCTACACTTCTGTTTTTTAGAATGGAAATTCTGATCGAAATTTAACCACGGGTGTACAGCACACGAATATTTGAATTCCAGGTGTTGTATTACTGAGAAAATTACATCATTGGGTTTGGCCAATTTATCGTTAATTTTTAATTTGTACTAAAGCGTGCGCGCTTTCGTAGTTTTCTCAGTAATTTAACAAATGAGTAATCGTATAAAAGCTCCAGCAATTCAAGATTTACACTACTCGTAATATTTGAAAATTCTTTCAAATTGCCCTCGCCTTGAATTTCCAAATATCATTCGTAATGTAAATCCTTCATTGCACTCGCATTAACAAGATTACCCGGGCAAGTAGTTAACGAGAATAAATTTGACCGAAACGAACCAAATATAATTTTAAGTACTTGCCAATTGATAAAAAATGAAGACTTTGGCTTGAGATTATAAGGGATGGTGACCTCAGCTTCAACGAGGTAGATCTCCATTAACCAAGCTTCTCAAACTCATTAGTAATTCATCAAGTTAAAACAAAGAGAATCACAACCGTGAAGGAGGTTTGGATACCCGGTCTTAATTAGCGTAGATTTTGACGATTTTACTTCTCCGTTTACTCCTTAGCTTTTACTTCGATTCAGAAGATATATCAAACACTCGAGACAGTGTTTCATCGGCTATGAAACAATTTAGTCAAAAATACTCCGCTCCGCGTCGTATTTTCATCTCTCTTGTCGGTGTTTGGATATCCCGATGAAACATTGTCTCTCGTGTTTGATACTGCATATTAAATGAAGTTTACACGAATACGCGCGAGCAAAAGGACAATTACAGGTCAGCTGCTCAACCGCCCGCGTCCGCCTCCCGCTCCCCGCGAGTGATTCCCATGTGAAAAAGGTTGGGGGTGCCCGTTATCTTAAATCACGGATTTTGGTCTCTCTTGGGTGTTCAGGACCGTAAACGCCACTATTTTTAGTTGTCGAGGTATCTTTTAGGGTTACACTTGAAAAAAAAAAAAATAATAATAATATTTACAAGGTTTCAATTAGGGGTCAAATAGAGCTCGACACACGCCCACATTTGTCTCCTTTAGGGTTTATTTCAGATTTTCCGACGAGCGTCACATACCTTTAAATATGGGAGTCCCCCTTTCGGGCTCAGAAACCCGTATAGATTTTATACTGTAACATTTTCAACATGTCCTACAGCAACAGCAACAAAAGAATTTACTGATTAATTACTCACCTCTGACCAATTACCCACAATCCACTTGGCAGGGCAAGGCTCGTCATTACAAATTTGCACGGTCTCAGGCTTATCCCCGGTACAGAGGGAAGAGTTGGCCTGGTGATCAGCAAGCACGGCTCTGCATTCCAATGTGCGAGTTTGGTTTCCACCATTACAAGGCAACGAGCAGCTGGTCCATTTAGAAGCACGCCATTCGAACCTGAGTATGAAGGAAATAAAAATGAGCAATTGAACTTGTTGCAATAAGCGCAGGCACTCAACAAGGGATCTGCTACTACAATTCGTCAAATATTTCGCTCGCACGTGATTGAATATGCCCCAGCTCGAACAGAGGAATATGCGAACGATATTCCCTAGTTTTCAAATCCATTTTTCTCAAGGATTTAAGTTCGATAAAAGTAGAATCAAATATTGACAACTGAAGCAGACATACCTCTCACAAGCCGTCAAATTACAAGGTTTTGTCAAAGGTTCGGGTTTGTTGCTGGAAAAGCAGTTACTTTCCGTAACCTCTGAGTCGTCTTCGTGTTTGCGGCATTTGAATAGGCGTGTTTGAATTCCTAAAATTAAGAAACAAAAACGACAGCCTTTTAGCCACCCCTAACGTTTTGTGAACCCTGGAAATCCTCTCGAGAGCTGCAAGGTTCAATACATTATTACAGCATTTTTATTCTCTTGTTAAGACTTCAGGTAAGTCCTTCACATAAGCCTTATTGGCTTCTCTGGGCTTCCTTGCCTATGATATACATTGATGCGTTGTGTTTATATTTATAAATGGCTAAAATAAAACAAGAAACAAGACGAAAGAAGAAACATAACTCCTTTATCGCTCTCAAACTCATTAATAATTCATCAACTTTAAACAAAGGTAATCGTGAACGTGACAGTGTTTGGATGTCTGACTGATCTTAATTAGCATAGGTTTTTACAATTTTATTTCTTCGTTTTCTCCTTAGCTTTTGTTTCTATTGAGATGATATATGAAACACTCAAGACAGTATTTGTCCAAATTTCAAAACACCTCGAGGTTCGTCAAATATCCCTGTCAACTCCCTTCTCGGTGTTTGGAAATGTGGTCAAACACGGTCTTTCGCGTTTGATGTAATATATCAAACACGAATGACAGTGTTTCATCGGGGTATCCAAACACCGACGCGCAGCGGAGTATTTTTGACAAAATCCGAGGTTGTTTCGAAACACTGTCTCGAGAGTTTGATACATCTTCTCAATCGAAACAAAAACTAAGGAGTAGACGGAGAAGTAAAATCGTCAAAATTTATGCTAATTAAAGGAGCTCAGTCACGGTATTTTGAGTTATTTTGGCCACATACAAAATTACCTTTAAATTGAAGGAAACCTGAAAATAACAGCTTAATAAGA